TTGCATCGTATTGCACTGCATTTTATTGTATTATATTGCACTACATTGTATTGTATCATATTGCACTGCATTTTTGCATCATATAAAACTGCTTTGTATTTCATCATATTACACTATATTGTATTGCATCATATTGCACTGCATTGTATTGCATCATATTGCTCTGCATTGTATTGCATCATATTGCACCGCATTGTATTACATCATATTGCACCACATTGTATTGCATCTTATTGCACTGCATTGTATAACATCATATTGCACTGCATTGTATTGCATCATATTCCGTATTTACCATTTCGTTACAGTTTTATTACATAAAATGTTATTTATAAGATTATAATTTTCAAACATTGAAAATATTTTATACAATATCAATTAAAAGATATGAAATGGCCCAAAATAATATATTTTCAATGGAACCCTTTGCAAGGGTCACTTCAACATAACGCCATGTGTAATCTGTATGCATACGCCCTCTTTTAATGAACATTATCTTTGAAACCATATTAGAATCGAATCTGATAAAAGTGCGCATCATGGTCCTGGATGTGCTGCGCGGTAGAATCGGGAAATTTCAAAATTCTCCTCGTTAGAGCCATCAATATTATCCAAAATTGTCATTTTGCTGGTTCACTCCGCAGTCTTTCGAAAAAAATCAAATTCGTGGTGCCACGAATTTTTATTCGTTATTTATTCACAGATAATGATTTTTTCATCGCGCACTGAATGCCGGAATTTCTGCGCACTTTATTTTAATTAACTTTGCACAACGCGGCCCCTGTAATTCATTCAGTGCGCGATGAAATCTATCTGACTGGGCCGCGGTGTGTGATATCACTCCCATGTTAAAACTCCATTCGATTTTGAATTATGCGCATGTCCCCTATAGCTTTCCGTAGCTTTCCGTAACTTGGCATATTATAGCGCGGTGTAGTTCTACACGCTTTGATAGCGGGATAACTTTATGCGCGCTCGATACGTTATACGTTTTCGTTTCGACTTTATATGCTTGCTTGCCGGTAGCTGTTACTAGTCATTCGCGGATACAAGCTAAGCTAGAGTTTCACGGGTTTTTAAAGGCAGAATGGTCGGGAATGTCCTTTTTAAATTAATGTAAACGTTGTCTCCCCAGCACTATCGTCGTATCAAATATAATTGACGTATGATCATCGCTAAAATTCATAAATGGAAATAGTTGTGTTTCTTGTCTGTTTATCATATTAAAATCGTAACAAAGACCTCGATTTTATAATTTATGTCAAATATATGACCACAAATTTTATTCTGGTCATTGCCAAAGACCTCAATCGCTAAACGATTTCGGTCTTTTAACAAAGAAGAGAATTCAAAATCCGGTCATATGCTACGCCATAGATCATAAAATTTCGGTGTTTATTCCTTAAATAATGCTTTGTTTTGTACATTCATATCAAGCCTTATGCTCCTTGACGGCTGCAATGATGTCATCCGTAGACTCCATCATATTGGGATCCAGTGGAATGTTTACACAAAACGTCTATGTAATTATCATTCATAAAAAGGTACCTTTTTTACCAAATATAATTTTATTAGTACAAAATATGTAATTCCTTTCATTTTCTCAACTGACAAGTTCACTAAAGTGAACCCTTGGCGCACTCTGCTTGTGCTCTGACTTGTGTTGTGGTCAATATTCAACAAGTTTATCCCAATATGTTTGTTTCAGGCATCAGCGCGGTAAATAATGTGGGTACGGCGTATAACGATGCTTGTATTGGGTGTTGTCTCGTCAGTAATTTCAATATATGGAGAAAACACTGTCATTGGATTGTATTATGTTAGCACAGAGATCGTTATTGTGGTTGTATTTCCTCAATTTATATGCAGTATGTACGTTGACGTTGCCAATGGGTACGGAGCCTTATTAGGCTCTGTTTTGGGATTAGTACTCATCTTCGGAAAAGGAACTCCTTCGTTAAATCTCGTCTCTTTCATTCCTTATCCGCCATATGACACCAGAGATGATATATTTCCCGTCCGAAGCCTGAGTATAATCGCCGGCATCTTGACCACAGTTGTATTCTCCTACGCCACAAAAATGATGTTCACAAAGAGATTCTTGGCAAGAAAATTTGACATTTTGAATCAGTTCTACAAATCCGATCCGGACAGAGAAACGAATGTCGAAATTGAGCATACATCATTAACACAGCAAGTATGATTATATCGACGAATATTTAAGGATTTAAGCCCTGGACTCTGCAATGTAGAATGGCCACTCCTTGAAGGTGTTGCTTTCCGTAATTTGCACGAGATGCGCAGCAACGAGTGTTTATTTCAAGAAACAACGCCTGACAGGAATGATCATTCCACTTTGCACCGAAACCAGGGCTTAATTCCTTAAAGGGGCAACAAGGACTGTCGAGAGAAAATTAGATTTTTAAAAAAAATTCTGGGCTATCAGGTCAATATTTGGCTTAACACCTTCTTTGACATTCCTATTTTTTGAAATGTATGTATAAGCTATCTGGTTCAGCATTAAGAAGTGCAAATTTAGTTCAAAGCTTCTATAAAGGGAGTCCCACTTATAGATATTAAGATCCACTACGTTTCAAGCGGAATATCAGCTGAAATAATGCAGTTCATCCAGGGGTTTCTTTTTAGGTGATGTTCGATTTAATATTACAATTTCTGGATATATTAACATAAATACACTGATTGTAACTTCATTTTATTTAACGTATTATACAAAAATAACCAGAACAACGGCAACGCAAAAGCGTAGCGAATCCCATCGAACAGCCATGGATGGCATTTTTACAAAGTATATAGCAAAAATGGCCGCCTTCTACCAAAAGTGTCATTAGACAGTGTGCCATCCTTATAGTATTCACATACCAAATATGAACAAAATCGCTCTACTACTTTTCGAGTTATAGTAAAATAGGTTAAAATGGCGGCCATTTTTCAAAATGGCGGCCATTTTATAAAATGGCCACCTTCTACCAAAAGTGTCTTTAGACAGTGCGCAATGTTTATAGTATTCACATACCAAATATGAACAAAATCGCTCCACTACTTTTCGAGTTACAGCAAAAATCGTAAAATAACGAGTAAAGGCCGCCATTTTTCAAGATGGCTGCCATTTGCTTCTTTAATATCTACATTTCTAGCTTTATTAATGTCCTATATAATTTTTTTACATCTAAAACATATTGCTATTACAGTTTTACATATTGCACCTAAATTACTGTAAATTCAACACTAAAATGGCCGCCATTTTGAAATGAGCGGCCATTTTGAAAATCGGCTTTCGAGCAGAACTTCTACCCCCATAGGGTATATGTGTACAAAATATAAACCAAATCGGGCCAACGGTATTTGAGTTATTGCCCGGACGGACGGACGGACGGACGTACGGACGGACGGACGGACAGACGGACGGACGGACGGACGGAGGCGTTCCCTATATCCCTCCGAACTTCGTTCGATGGGATAATAAAAACGTCATCATCAGGGGTATAGTAAATAATAACAAATAATTGAATGAGTAAAATCAAAATAAAGGAGTGGTATCGATATGGAGAACTTTTTGTACACACGTTTCTCTTAGACCAGTCATACAAAAAATCTAAAAAACTCATCGTCAATTTAATGGTCATCTTTTGAATGGTAACAATATAATTTGAAATATACAGGGTGGGCCAAAAAAACGCCACTTTTTTCAAAATGCTTTAACTTTTTTAATTTTTGATACAAAATCATAATTTGCATACCAAATGAAACTTGAGGTTGTTATCTAGCCATGGATCATGAATTATACACGTTTACTTGAATAAAATATGTCACCAGCGTCTCACTTAAACATGTGGTGTACCATGAGAAATAAGCATAATTTGCAAAATGTTCCTGAACTGATACGCCCTGATGACGGCCAAGCTAATAGCCCTAATGCAAACCCCAGTGAGTATAGGGTATGGGAAGGTCTCCAGGAGATGGTATGAAGGCACCCGATCTAAAAAATTGCTCAACTAAAGCTGGCAATTAAGACACGTTGAAAAAAATATAGCTAACATTTCATTGATACTGCTTTATCAGCAAGGCGACTAAAACTAAAATCTATCATCAAATAGGGTGGCGGACCAATTGAACTCCTCTTTTAGATCAAATATAATTCAAGTTGAAGGGCTTGTTACATTATATTATTACTAAAAAACCCTGGCACTATGTAACTGCAAAAAAGTGGCGTTTTTGGCCCACCCTGTATATATATACTTTCATCTATATTGTTTTAGAAAACACATCAAACACTTTTTTGTTCTTGGTATCATGTTTCCAGAGTGAAATGAAACATCTTTCCGAACCTCATCGGAACAAAACGACATAAACACAACAATTTTAGGTCTCCCAATATTGTAATTGTACAAAGGAAATTTTGGTTGATTTTAAAAATGTATCTTATTAAATGAAATAAAAGGTTTATCTTGATTTTTATCTATTTTGGGGGGATTTTGTTTTAATTTTTTGAATATTTTTAAATTTTAAAATCAACCAAGAATTCCTTTGTATAAATATAACATTGAGAGGTCTAAAAACATGTTGTATATGCTAATTTGTTCCAACAAGATTCGGAAAGACATTTTATTTCATTCTCAAGAATTGGTAGAAAGGAGCAAAAACAATTGCACTAAAAAATGAAAAAATTTAACAAAAACAGTTATATAAAATATTTCTCAATAAATTTCGCATTAAATTGTTGTCAATCAGTCAACATTATATAAAATACCGTGTTTTTACAGAATGTTTTCAATTATTGGTTTAAGAGAAAACATTGTTGAATTCAGTTCTCCATATCGATACCACTCATTTAATAATTTCCACTCCGCTACTATGTACGGGTAAAAGCTTAATACCATACCAAACCGGTATTTAATAAATTCATCGGCTGTCTACTTTCATACAGGTAATCTGGATATACAATTTCCTAAAGGTTTGAGCCTAAATCTTAAAGTAAATATCGGAAGCCAATTTATTAAACTAGTATTCGGAAAGTTTGTTATCGAGCTTAGTGTTTCGAGCGCAAAGAGTAAATAAATCTTTCGTAATTTTCTCAGATATTGAGAATGCACAAAGAGTATTAAAGAAACGTATAAATTTGAAATCAAAAATTGCAATTGGTATTCCTTCAGTGACAAAAACAAGACCGTCGCTAAACAATAAAAATGGGTGTTAAAAATGGACATGGAAAGCAGCAGCTTACCTGGAAGCTTGCGCGTGTATTTTTGCTTTATATCCCGATTGGACTTTTGATGTACAACATACACGACTTACGTCTAAACGGACTTAAAACTGAATACAACATTCAACCTCAAAAAAGGAACGACCTTACTACAGAAATTAGAACCTCGAATTTGACAGCCAACAAACGTGGATCTAAATTTCAAACTCAAAAAAGTGAAGAGCCAACTACCGAAGATTCAAACTCGAATTTGACAGCCAACAAACGTGGATCTAAATTTCAAACTCAAAAAAGTGAAGAGCCAACTACCGAAGATTCAACCTCGAATTTGACAGCCAACAAACGTGGATCTAAATTTCAAACTCAAAAAAGTGAAGAGCCAACTACCGAAGATTCAACCTCGAATTTGACAGCCAGCAAACGTGGATCTAAATTTCAAACTCAAAAAAGTGAAGAGCCAACTACCGAAGATTCAACCTCGAATTTGACAGCCAACAAACGTGGATCTAAATTTCAAACTCAAAAAAGTGAAGAGCCAACTACCGAAGATTCAACCTTGAATTTGACAACCAACAACGGTGGGTTTAGATTTCAACCTCAAAAAGCAAAAGAGCCAACTCCTAGAAATTCTACCTTGAATTTGACAACCAAAAACGGCGGATCTCGTCTTTTCAAAGGAAAAACGCCAAACACGCTATTTTATACTCGAATGCCGAAATGTGGCTCGACAACCATACTAGATTACTTAAAAATGATCCAAGACAGAAATGATTTCCAGGTTTATCATTATAAATATGTAGAAATTGCCCATGAAATAAGCGAGCATTCAAAAGCAGAAGAGACCTTCCTGAGGACTTTTCAAAATGAGAAGGATACGTCTGTAAAGAACCTAGCTTTCGTACGCCATATAGGTTACTTTAATTTCACGAAACGTGGGATTAGACAACCGCTTCTAATTGATATGTTACGGGATCCAGTAGAGAGAGCGATATCGCGATTTTACTTTATTCGGCAACCGTCCGAGGCAATCCGACGCAACCTAAGTGAAAGCATTATAAATGAAACTCTATCGCAGTGTATAAAGCGGGAGGGTAAAAATCAAACATGCGTCGCACCTACATATGTTCAATGGTTCAATTCGTACACTCCTGACATCGATCCGAAAGATGTGAAGTTCATCAACAGAGCAAAGAATATCATTGAAAAGGAATACGTTTGTGTGGGTATATTGGAACAGCTCAGTGAATCCCTTACAGTCTTCTCAAAACTTATTCCACAATACTTTGGTGGAATTCACGATTACCTAAAAAACAACACAAAAATAAGTAACGCTGGGAATCGTAGAAAAGGCAAGGACAAACTTCCAAAAGGAATCCGTGATACTATAGTTGATGTTCTAGCTTCGGATTATGATATTTACAAGTTTGCGGTACAGTTGTTTAACAGTAAAGTTAAAGGAATGAATGTTGGATAAAGGGTGCATTAAACAAACAATCTTTACAATGTGTAAAATGAACAAGTTGAGTGCTTACATATTGGTCATTAGCTGGAACTGTTAGCTCAGCACAATGTTAAACAATTCAGTCTTGATTGCAACAAAATTGCATTGTTAAATAAAACCCCATTAGTTAAATGCTTGCCTCTTCAGACTTCTAGCTTTGCATTCCAATGAATCGTTATTACACTTGTTGGACTGATTGGCAGGACAATGTTAACAAATAAGAACTTATTAAATACTTGATTTCTCATTTATTTTCTTTGAATGACTATAAAACCCGATGAGGAAAAATGAGTGACTTTAACAATTACATTTTCATTCACACCCATATAATATGCTCATTGTATAGAGAAAATAGCTGGTATTGTATAAATCCAGCATTAGTCTCCATAGAAGATAATACAATTAATTGTACTCTGAGAATATCATAAAAAGATATACATTGTTTTATATTTTATTTTTTATTGTCATATTACAGACTCTAACAATTATATTATACATTGTTATAATAAGCATGAGAGATTATCACAAGGCAGTGTTTAATTTTTTAATATATTTTCTTGATGTTCTCTTATGCAAAGGCGCCCTTTAGATTGAATGCTTTGTTCACTGAATACAATTTTGAACAAAATACTCAATCTGCCGGGCGCCGGCCGATGAATCGGAGCAAATGCGACTCATGCCTCACCAAAGATAACATTTTTTACAAACATGGCATTAACATGCGAAATGTTACCACCTGTCAGTTGGTACAGACACTGGCCGCTAAACGCCGACAACAACGGCCGAACACCGTCCACAAAAACAATACACACTATAATAATATTATGAGGCCATATTGGAAAGTGTTTTCCTTCAACGCGTATTTGAGTTGACACTAGGTGAAATGGATAAACTTCGCAATTCGTTCAATGGGATGGTGAAAATAGCAAGTGACTGCTGATCCGTATTAAAAGAAGCCTAGCAATGACAAGAGGCCCAGTCCTAATATACATCAGATATTTTAATCAAATTTTCAAAAATATGAAATCTTACATGTACATGTATGGCTCAAAATTGAATACGAGTAAATGATAATAAATTTCCTGATGTTCTTATCATTTCCGTACAATTTCGCGTGTAAACAAAATAACTGAATACTTTGTTAATGGCTTTAAACTCCACTCTTTGTAACTCTTCATTGTTCTAAAACACAACAACGTGTCTTTATTTCCAATTCAAGAAATGGAACACGATTCTCCATATGTATGCCTTACATCTCCCTGGAGGAGATGGTTTACAACAGCTTTTGCAATATAACTTGTTGTTCCCAAACGTCCGACAGATGGCGTGTTGAAAAATGACGCCATATTGTTTTCCTGTTTGTCTTGCTTTTCTTTTTCTTCAACAGTTGGTTGGCTGTCATTTTTAAAATACTGGAAAGCTTCTTTAATCAACTGAAAAATATGAAATTGTAGCCATATAGAAATACTGGAATGTAATGGGTAAATATAATAATGCATTATAAATCCATATTTTCATCATTTTCCAATATAAGGAAAACCATGGGAAAACCTTCTACATGTAATTTGGGTAATTTTGGAGAGAATTCTTAAAATGAATTGCATTTGCAGCTAATAAATACCAAAGTGACAAATGCAATTTTGCAAAATACAATGATTAATGTAATGATTTAATGATTATTTGAAATTCTTGATGAATCCCCGGGGATGAAGCGCTCTGGATATGTTTTGAAACGAAAACAACTTATGTTGTAACTTGTAAATTGTATTCTTTTTAAATAATTATAAATATATAGAAATATATTCAACATACTGTAATAAGAATCAAATTGTAGCACATTCTGCTCGTCTACCTATAAGAACCAAACTTACAACATCCATATTGACAGGTCGTTGGAATTCCAGCTCCGGATTGCGTTCCAAGATGGTTGACACGACCATGAACGCCTCAACCATGAGTTGTCTGTAGGCGGGTTCGATGATTTTGCTCAGCATTTGTTCGACCAACAGTGAAAAGTTAAGTTCATACATCGTCATATCTGAGAGGGTTGGTTGCTGAAAGGCAAAAACACATTTACAGTGAAAAGTTAAGTTCGTACATCGTCATATCTGAGAGGGTTGGTTGCTGAAAGGCAAAAACACATTTACAGTGAAAAGTTAAGTTCGTACATCGTCATATCTGAGAGGGTTGGTTGCTGAAAGGCAAAAACACATTTACAGTGAAAAGTTAAGTTCGTACATCGTCATATCTGAGAGGGTGGGTTGCTGAAAGGCAAAATAGAAATTCAAAAAGCTACTAAAATCACAAAATGCAAATTTCTGGAAGAAAAAATTAAAATTACAAAATGCAAAATTCTGCAAGAAAAAATCAAAATTACAAAATGCAAAATTCTGCAAGCCAACATGTGGAATTCTGTAAAAATTCTCCATCAACAGAAATTCAATATTCTGCATTTAACCAAATTAAAATTCTGCATTTTTCTGCTGCGATGCAGGAAAAAACGGAATTCTAGTAGCTCTGTACAATAGGGCAAGATTAAAGCAAGACGCCAATTAGCTCAAGATGACAACAGCATTCCTTTTTGGAAATTCAAAAACTGAAAAAGGTGCAAGGAAACCAATCGCACTTTGGTGGCAGGAAAAACAAATAAAGGAATAGACAGAAATCCCCTAGGGTCATAATAATACACTTTTACGTTCAACTTCTCTCAAAATATTTTACGGCAGCACCCTTATCTCAAACTATGATCCAAAATGCAGACAGAGACAGAACCCCATTCCCTAATTTTTTCATGCGTAATGCCGACCGACAATACGCACGCAGGATTGACTTAGATCTTCACACGAAGAAGTACCTGTGGGAGATGATATCCCGCAACTTTTAGACCACCCGGTGTCCGCTCGAGTATCTCCCACACTTTATCATAGAAGCCTGGGGGAACCCTATTCAGGGCCCCATCAAGCTGCCTCCTCCAGATCGGGGACCTATAAAACACATACTGTACATGTAATGACACATTGGTTAGAATTTAATTTGGAAATCACAAATCTTAACCGCATAGAAATTAGATACTACTGTAGTTCATTAGTTTTGAATTTATCGCCTATATGTATGTCAAATACCTGATTATATTACCGTCAGAATGGAGTTCCAACCATTATGAGCTTATTAAAAAGATTGAAATGTGTGTATGCAACCACTTTAATCAAATTGTTCAGTCTGAGTAATTCTTTGCTATTTAGAATGTATTAAGTTTTTAAAATTGAGTTTATTGTGAAGTTTTATGTGGGGTATTCTTAAAATATGTAATATAGAAATATTTTGAAAACTGTTGGATTAAAATGATATCCAAATAGACTATCATTTTCATCCACTCATGGATTTTGCCCAATTCCACTCTCTCATTGATCAGCCCACTCGAGGAGATGGTTTATATCTACTTGTGGATAAAAATGATATCCCTTGAAATTCAAAGGATATTTATAGGATATCCTATGATTTTGAGGAATATCATTTTTATCTACGAGGTGATATTGATATCTGCAGGAGAGAGCGAAGCGAATATCAATATCACCGAGAAGATTAAAATATTCTGAAAAAAATCATAGAACAGGTTCCAGTGTACTTTGGCAATTCCATAGGTGACAAATGTTTGAATTATTAATATAAATTAAGAAATATATTTGACAATTAATGTATTCTTGAAGTGTTGGAGAAGATTTTTGTATGAGAAAAGATTATAAACAACGACCAAAGTATAAATATGAAGATATATATTTCTAGGTACCGTATATCTATGTTGTGTACAGACATCAGCAACATATTTACAAGCTTTTTGTGTAGATATATGAAGTGTCTGAATTCAGGCAGATGTTTTACTTGATGTAGCTCTTAATATAGGAAAATATGTGTCTGAATTCAGACATGCCCACATATTTTTAATTAGAAAAAAGAATTATATCTGAGATTCCGGTGCATGAATTCAGACAAGATTCTCTTAAACTAAAATAAGGTGTCTGAATTCAGACACTTTGCTAAGCTTGGATGAGGTGCCTGAATTCAGACAACGTCCTATAAAACTGAAATAAGATGTCTGAATTCAGACACTTTGCTAAGCTTGGATAAGGTGCCTGAATTCAGACAACATTCTATAAAACAGAAATAAGGTGTCTGAATTCAGACACTTTACTAAGCTTGAATGAGGTGCCTGAATTCAGACATCATTCCATAAAACTGAAATAAGGTGTCTGAATTCAGACACTTTGCTAAGCTTGGATAAGGTGCCTGAATTCAGACAACATTCTATAAAACTGAAATAAGGTGTCTGAATTCAGACACTTTGGTAAGCTTGGATAAGGTGCCTGAATTCAAACAACATTCTATAAAACTGAAATAAGGTGCCTGAATTCAGATATTCTAGTGACATTACAGGTAAGGATTCAGAAATTATTGTTTTCACTTTTGTTTTTTAATCGAAATTGATGTTTGAATTCAAATTCATTAGGTCAACAATCCTGTGTTGAAGCAATTTCTCTTCCATCCATAAGTTTGTCAACAGAAATTTTCATCTGATTGCAATCAAGATGTCTATATAATGTTTTAATTGCAATTCTATTTAAGTACAATTGTAAATTTTATGACAAGATATTTTCAAAAAGTAGTTCGTCACATACAGATCAAGTAATCTTTAGCATTACATAAAATACTTCATTAGAAAATACTGTAATTGATGGTACAACCGGCAGAAGATTTATCATTTTAACTTTTTTAATTTTAAATCACACCTGACCATTGACAATGTACAGTGAGAAAATTTACAGCCGTACACTTTCAATGGACAGTGTCACTATTCTAACTGATATGAAGCAAAAACTAAGATGTAGGTGTGATGTAGGTTTTAAAAATTAATCTGAGGATCGAATGCATAAAGAATTTCATGTTTGATTTCGTGTGTATTCGATTGGGAAGACCATTAACTTTCTGATTACGTTAAAAGATTTTTGAGCAGCTCGATTTTTTGTCATAGCAAATCTTCCCATAAACAATGATCAGTTGGAAAATGTTGGGTTTTTTACATTTACTTTGATCATTTTTCTCCCTGTCACCTCAGAGTGTCAATTATTATTATGAGAATATGTTTCCCTAAGTTACACAATTAAGGTCAGTTGAAGATTTAATAAATATTCATGTTTTAGCTAAAATAATAAAAATCAAAAAATACAAATGTACGTTGTCATCTTGATGTATGTTGTCCAAATGAACTTTCATATCTAAATTCACAGTTAACCCTGACAACATATTTTTAATAACACTTACGGGCAGGGGGATCAGATTCATTTAAAACTGAAACTTAACAATCACAGTAAACATGATTGAACTATAGTATTGAACCTCCACACTTCTAGATATAGCATAAAGAGGATTTTAAAAAGTCATCTTCAACATAAAAGTGTTTCTTATTACGTTAAAGTTCAGATGCCAAATGATCAAGAGGCTAGAGACCAACACCCCATGGTCACAGATTAATCACCACTTTTATAAAATGAAATAACATTCAACAAAATTTAAAAATTAAATTTACCTTAACTTTAGAACATCTGTATTAGGGATAATTGAACATGTTCGCTGAACATAACTTGTTACTCATTAAAACCTCGATTTTGCAATTGAATTATTGCATTACATCTTGTGAATTTCATTTACACTGACACCCTACAGTGGAGTTGACAACTACTCTTCTGATTTTTTAAAATTACACCAAATACATAATATTTATCAAATCTTCTCTTATCTTAAATTGTGTAGTTTAGAGAAACATATTCTCATAAAAATAATTTACAGTCTTTTGCGACAGGGGAATGATCAAAGGAAATGTGAAAAACCCAACATTTTCCATTGTGGGTAGATTAACTACGAAAAAATCAAGCAGTGGTTTTAAATCTTTTAACATGATCCGAAAGCTGAATGTCGCAATTAAACATGAAATATTTTTCTTCAAGTGCATGTATTCCCAATATTAATTTTTGAAAACCTACATCACACCTGCATCACCGGTTTTACTTCAAATCAGTTTCTAGTGACACTGTACAATATAAAGTGTACAACGGTATATTTTGTCACTGCACGTTGTCAATGGTAAGGCGTGTAAATATGAGTAATAGTCTAGTTCTTTCATAATACATTATAATCTATTAGCTTCATCATTATACTTGCCCAAGTTCTGATTTAATGATTTCTAAAAAATTCTGAGGTAAATTAGGGTCATATTAATCAAGTCTATATATTGACATTTACAGTCAGTGCTGGTACATCTTCACATTTTTTCAAATTCATCTTCAAGGAGTTTACAGTGGCTTTGTCATTTGGCACATCAGTTGATCTCACCATATCACTGGCTTTGACTTAACAGTGACAATGTACATTCCTATATAGTGAGATGTCATCTTCCCCAACTTCATCTTAAAGCTTCTTTTTCGAGATTGGTGTCTTTTTTGTTGTACTTGGCTCTAATGGCTCAATTAATGATCTTTGATCTTGCTTGCTTTTTCAGTGTTATATTGTGCAACTAATGAACTTGCACAATGGCAATCATTGTATTGACATGCATACATGTTGTTGCTTTTGAAATAGTCAACATAAACCGTTTTGCCAGTTTTTTTGGTCTCAAACATCACCTGGAATTAAACAAAAGAAAACCATATTATTATTTAAGTAATATACACCTCCACACAGACTTTTTATTTCATGTCGGACCAGCTTTGCTGTACAGGGTGGTCAAAAAAGCTGCAACCCTGTCATTTTAGGAAATACATGTAACTACTTGATATTTAAAGTAATTTTACATTGCCTATCAGGCTGGTCGTTATGAAATATGGTTGGAAAGTCACAGGTGGTCAAAGATTTGTCCAGCTTAGGGGAGAATGCGATTTTTCATAAAAACATTTAGAAAACTTCACAAATTATTTTTTAACTCAAATGTTTTGTTATACAAAAGAAAATAATCTATTCCATGCAATGGGTATATTATTTGCATTGTTTAATTAATGTATAACATAAGTGTATTTTTGGAATAAACGATGCATGTAGGTTGTAAAAAATGTATACAAAGGTTCCATCACATACAACTTACAAACAGGCCTACTATGCATTAAAATTCTGAGTCAACCCGTTCAACAACTAATCAGTATATGCTAATTTTGCAATAATGTTTTACTACAGTATAATGGTATAATGACAAAAACAATGTACTAAAAAACAATGGCTGTGATATATGGCATTAATTAAATCATTAATTATAATTAAAACAGTTGATTGAAAACTTCAACATTATAAACTTGGAAAGGAATTCAATGATGACTTTTATTTTTCAAACTGCAAGATCAGTTTGAAAGCTGAAAAATCTTCTGCCACAATTTCCTTTATAATAGTTTTGAAATCATATACATAAACCTCACAATAATATGAGATAGTATAAAATCAGCTTTGTAATATAAATGGTTCATGTTTCAACTTTAAACCCATTTTCTCAAAACCACAAAAATGTCACTTAGGAAACACTGGTTTTCATGCAATGAAATAGATCAATCAGTTCTCTAAAGCTTACTTAGTATGATATAACCCTCTCTCCCCTTATCACAACATTACACAATGCTTATGTTTATTTTACTTGGGAGAGGGCACATACACCAGTGTATACCTTCAGTCATATTAGCCTATTCATTTCTTATTCATTTTAATGTTTAGTGATCAAGCTTGGCCCTGAATTGCATTTGAAACATGCTTTATTCTAACAAGGTTAAACTAGCCTGGCTTCTGTATTTGACACATTTTATTAAAAATAAATTCACAATCAAATCAGTTTTTATACAGTTAATATTCCCATTTTGGAGAAACTACTTAAGGGTGGTCTATCACTTGGTAATAAAGGGTGGTATTTTATTTATTTTAGGAGACAGTACCAACTCAGTCCATTCTATAACATTAG